GGCGCCCGAGGGCCCCTTCCCTGCCCACCTGGTGGACGTCAGCGGCACGGGGACGCTGTCGCACTCCTACCAGTATGAGGTGTGTCTGAGGGGAAGCACAGAGACCAGCGATTTCAAGTTTCTAAAGGCTGTTACCCGAAACAACCAGAAGACTGAAAATGACTTTGAAGAAAATTCTATATTTGTTAATGGTTTGGGATACAATTAATAATTGTTGTTTGATTTGTTTTGTTTTTTTTTTTAGATGATCCCAGATAAGAGTTAGCTATTTGAAAACATTTTAGCGTTCTAGTTAGGGTTCTCTCTTCTTCTTTCGGATCATAAGGAAACTTTCAGTGTTTTGCATGTATTTTCCTCATTAAACCTATTAGAAAATTTCTTTAGATGTACCTCTCTGATCTGTCTCTTTTTCAACCCCTTATGAAGACAGTGAACCTTTAATTAACTGAAAAGTCACAAATATCTGTTCAATATATCGATGACCCCAGTCCCATTGTCTGTTTCTTCCTTATAAGATTTTTTAAAAGTTATGATAATTGGAAGACAAGCATGATATAAATGTAATGAATTATAATGTCTTCTGTTTGCTATTATTAGAATATTTAAATGGAGAAATATTTGCCAATATATATAGTTTTGTTTTGCAGTACTAAATGTGAAAGACCGCTATTTTCTCCCAAAGCTAAAGTCTTTTTCAGTCTTTTAAACAACCTTCAGTGTAGGTAGCCCATGTAAATATTGTAAGATTTGATTTTACCTTGCAAATAAAAACCATTTTGTGATATGTAGCCCAGCACACCTTTTTCTGAAAACTTCTTTTTCCAGCTGGGTTTTACTGTTAAAAGTGTACTTATTTTATGTCTCTTCTCTCCCTATGATTTCAGGGAGCAGGACAAAGAAGTAGAAATTTCTTTTTTTCTTTTTCCTCTTCTCTCTTCTCTCTTCTCTTCTAGCTAAATGCATGGAGAGAAGTACAAAAAAATCTACTGAGATAACGAAGATACTAAATATATACCCTTATTTAGATTTTCTTACTATACATGTTTCAGTCCCTCCATATCTGCTTTCTCTCTTAGGTTTTTGAGAATAAACATAAAGCTCTTTTAATAAGTGTCTTCTAATTAGGATAGTTAGGTGAGGATTTCTTTCCTTCTAAAAATTATGCTTAGCTATTCTTCCATGAATCGGTTAAAACTTACTATTGATTTGAGACGTTTGTTGTGCTCTTCATATTAATGTAACACTTACTATCAAAGGGCTGCTGACTATAGTGTAGAAGGGATAACTACAAGGTTTTGCTGCAGTAGACAATTTTGACAATAACTGTGAGATCTCCCCTATGGTACAGTTTTAAAGTATTTAACATACTTAGAAAATTCTGCTATGTTAGAAATACGAGACATCTTTAGTGTCCAATAGAGTTGGTGCAAAATAACACTGACAATGGAAAATCTTTCTAGTTTTCCTTATTAATAGAATAATTATTACTTTCTTGTATTATTTCTTTTTATAATGTATTTCTTTGGTAAGGAGAGGCCACAATATTTTGCCACTTAACGGAAACATTTTAGGTCATTTTGAGTTACTTCAAATTACTATTCCATTCTCTTAATTCAATGAATAGAGAGGTTTGTTCTAATAGTGTTTGAGACAGATATCATGTCTGCATCTTGTACAATGAATAACCACTAAGACAACAATATGTAATGTATAAATTATTGAAAATGTGCTAGTAATCGGTTGTGAAACTGTCTCATTGCTATTTGTTTCTCAATAAAATTATTTTTTTAAAAAATCAGTACTCAAAAGCTCACAGACTTAGGAACTTGGTAGCATAACAACTTGTTTCTACAAAGAATTACAACTGCAGCTGGAGATGATCCTGTCAGAATTTTTAAATCAAAGGTGATTTATCCATTGATCCATTTGACAAATATTTGTGAGTATCTACTATGTACCAGGGATTGGTTTAGTCATTTGAAATGTAGCAGTGATAAAGCAAAGGTCTAGTACTCATGAGTGATGTAGAAAATAAATAATTAAATATATACACGTGTGCTATGTCAGATAGTAAGGGAGGGGAGAAAAAAGTTTTAAGTGGCACTCTTTCATATTTGGATATTTTCATAAAGTTGTATCCCTATGACCTTACATGGACAGTATATCATTAATTGAAATGAACTTGTAACTTTTCTTTATGTAATGCAACACTTACTGTACATAGGCTACCTAGCATTTATATCTAGAAAGATTAATCTCTTTCCTGACATAATTCTAAGAAGTCACATAGATGTACATTACTAACTTTACAAGAATATTGATCCCTATTATTGCTTCTTTTTCCCCCTCATTTCCATCAGCTATCCTCTAACTATATTAAAAGGGCTGTAAAAGGTAGGAACCATGTCTAGGTTATTTGATGATGTGTTTCAGAATCTGGCACATATAAATAAATAACACTCTAAAATGAACAATTATGATTTCATGAGTTAGTGATTATCTCCCTCCTTCCAAACAATTTCCAAACTTCTAATCACTTCTGTAGAAATAGTAAATCAACACATGGTGGCGCTGTAGGCTAAGGCTTTGAAAGGCGTAAAAGCTAGAATCTCCAGATACCCAGCGGAAAAGCCAGTAAGCAGAGTTCTGACCACTAATGTGTTCGGGTATTTCTACTTAGCTCCTGTGTGGGCAGGATATCAACTGGCAGATATAAATTCGTCTCTTTCTCGTTATTCCCTGATGTACTACCTGACGCCTGTTCCTGAATAGGTATTTGCAAAACTAAAGATGGAGGACAGAGGGGAGCTCAAAGAAAGGCAAGTCCTGATTCTCTTTCTCTTATTGGGAATGGCTCTAGCAGGCTGGGAGCCCCGTCGCTATTTTGTGCTGGAGGAAACAGAGAGAGGCTTTTTTGTGGCTGATCTGACCAAGGACCTAGGGCTGGGAGTAGAAGAGTTAGCTGAGAGGGGAGCTCGGGTGGTCTCTGATGATAATGAACCATGCTTGTATCTAGATCAGCAGACTGGTAAATTGTTATTAAATGAGAAACTGGACCGGGAGGAGCTGTGTATTTCGGCAGATCCCTGTGTAATGCATTTCCAAGTGCTATTGAAAAACCCATTGGAAGTATTCCGAGCTGAGCTACTTGTGGAAGATATAAACGATCATTCTCCCGAGTTTCCTGAAAGAGAAATGACTCTGAAAATCCCAGAGAATAGCCCACCTGGGACTGCTTTTCTGCTGAAAAAAGCTCAGGATTTGGACGTGGGCATCAACAATATTCAAAACTACAATATTGGTCCCAATTCTCATTTCCATGTTTTGATCCGCAAGCAGGAAGACGGCAGGAAGTACCCAGAACTGGTGCTGGACAAAGAGCTGGATCGCGAGGAGCAAGACCAGTTCAGATTAACCCTGACGGCGCTGGATGGCGGCTCTCCTCCGAGATCTGGCACCACTAAAATCCGTGTATTGGTCCTAGACATCAATGACAATGCCCCTGCATTTTCCCAGGTGCTCTACAAGGTGCAAGTACCCGAGAACACACCTTTAGGGACTCTTATTGTCACAGTCTCTGCTAGGGATTTAGATATTGGGACAAATGGAGAGATAACTTACTCCTATAGTTCTCAGGAGATGGGAAAAACTTTTGAACTCAGTAGCCTATCAGGAGAAGTTCGACTAATTAAGTTACTAGATTTTGAGACTATTTCCTCATATGAACTAGATATAGAGGCAACTGATGGCGGGGGACTTTCTGGAAAATGCTCTGTTTCTATTAAAGTGTTGGATGTCAACGATAATTCCCCAGAATTAACTATTTCATCACTTACCAGTCCTATTCCTGAAAATTCCCCTGAGACAGAAGTGGCTCTGTTTAAGACACGGGACCGAGACTCAGGGGAAAATGGAAAAATGGTGTGTTCCATCCAGGATGACATTCCCTTCACGCTGAAACCTGTCGTTGAGAATTTCTACAGGCTTGTGACAGAAGGAGCTCTGGACAGAGAGAGCAGAGCCCAATTCAATATCACTATCACTGTAACCGACTTGGGGACACCCAGGCTCAAAACCCACTACAACTTAACCGTGCAGGTCTCTGATGTCAACGACAACGCCCCCACCTTCACCCAATCCTCCTACACCCTCTTCGTCCCAGAAAACAACAGCCCCGCCCTGCTCATAGGCACCATCAGCGCCACAGACAGAGACTCAGGCTCCAATGCCCAGGTCACCTACTCGCTGCTGCCGCCCCAACACCCGCAGCCGCAGCCGCAGCCGGACCCCGCCTCGCTC